TAACCATGCTATAAAAAAAGGCATCTTCAATTATGAATCCAGATCGACTGAAAAATCAACTGCAGGAAATGTTATAGCAATTGCCAACATAGAATGTTTAAATTGACATTAACATACAAGAGACCTTTTGAACATCTAAAAGTTATAACCAATTCAAAGATGAATGAACTGATGGCTAAGAGAGCCAAAAGAAGCCATTTTGGTTATCTATTTAATATCCCTGAGCTAACTAGCAAGTCATGCAAGAAGAAAAGTCCAAGTACAATAGATCTAAATTTAGATGAATAAGACTCTTTTAACACAACAGTGCAGCTAATAGACACCAAGTTCTTTGCATAAAGAAAATATTTTTACTTTTTTCTTGGATTATATCCAAATCTAGAATCCAGTCAAGTCCACAATTTTGGTTTTCTTCTAGTTAAGAAGATAACCCAACATCACAATTGAATTCACTTTCCTTTTTTCTATCACGGTGGAAGTCAGATTTTTCAACTGCCAAGCACTGCTTCAGCATCTTCCTCAAAGATGCCATACAAGAAACCAATATTTATTAGGGTATTCAATCAAGTTTGACCATTAAAATTGGAAAAGTAATTATTTGAACTCGAATAGTTGTTTTTTGAGGAAAATCCGGCTAGCCTTATGTTAATGTTTTGGTCACAACCATAAATTCTTCTTTTAAAGAACTAATGCTTTTTAAGAAGCTAAAATATTGAAGAAAGTTGTACAAACAAATATTAATACAATCAAGGGAAAGATAAATTATAGAATAAAGTAGCGGCAAGATGCTAATGTCTAACAACTAAGGCAGAATAAAAAGAAACGAACAACAAATTTCACAAGTCAACAATGTTACTGTACACACAAACAAAGTGAATCACATACTGAAAAGAGAAGGGTTAGCGGAAGCAGTTCCAACTTGAACTTCAAGAAGCTCCAAACGATGTTCCAGGGTGTCAAGTTTCTCATTCAGTGATGTTAATTTGCTCTTTGTTGTAGCCTCTTCAAACAAACAATTAACATTTAAAAAAGGGAAAAAGAAAATGGAGCATGAAAATGAAAAGTCAAGACAAAGGAAAATAAGTAAAGTTTACCGAATTGGAGGAGAAACTCAAAGAGGCGGCGAACATTGAGAGAAATGTGAGAGATAAATTCGCGATTCTCCCAATCTTGTTCATTGCCGGGAAAAAACTCTGTAAAAAATACGAACGAACCAGTTTCCAAATCTACCAGGATCCGATCAGATTCCCTGGAAAATCAAAAACCGTAAATAGATTGACTTGAAAAACAAAAGGGAAACTTACAACCTTAGATGGCGCTAGGATTGAAACCATCCTGATTGGCTAGTCTAAAACACAATTTCCTTCAAATCTAACATAAACTCAAAAGAATTTATTCAAATCCAAGAAATCCCACAAGTTCCCAGTTCAGAAACATTAGAAAATAGCAAATCAAAGTTCTTCCTCAAGCTTCAAACTGATTATCGAAGGGAGAAGAAGCGGGAATGATGAAAATAATGGGGGAAATTAAAATACGACTCCTAAAGATGACACATAATTAAAACTATACTCTGTGTTTTTGTAAATTTTTCGGATTATGACTATTAAATATGACACATATTATTGTAAGTCATAAATCGTTAAGATTTTAAAAAACATGACATTTTTTAATGACACACATGTTTTGCAAGTCATAAATTAGCGTGTGTCGTCGTTCATGTGTCATTAAAGGTATATTTTCTTGTAGTGCACATGTCACCCTCTAGTGGAAACAAAAATTAAGAGTGATAAAGAGGGCACAAGGGATTCGAACTAGCAAATATTGGGGGAGAAGGGAGAAGCCCAACCACTAGGACAACTTAATTTAAACTAGACTACATATTGTATATATATTGTTTTCTAGTATAATTTTAAATTATTAACTATAAAATATTTTTTATCTTAATTTAAATATTTAAACTTTATTCTTATAATATTTTAAAATATATATTCAATACATTAAGAAAAAATAATAAAATATATATTTTTATAGTTAAGAATTTAAACATATATTTTAAATATATATTCTTAACTCAAATAATAAACTTTTCCTACTTTAAACCAAAAAAAATATATATTCGATAAATTAAGAAAAATAAATAAAATATATATTTTTATAGTTAAGAATTTAAATATTTTAAATATATATTCTTAACTTAAATAATAGACTTGGCCTACTTTAAATCAATATATATATATTAGATAAATTAAGAAAAAAAATATATTTTTATAGTTAAGAATTTAAATATTTTAAATATATATTCTTACCTCAAATAATAAATTTTACCTACTTTAAACCAAAAAATATATTTTCGATAAATTTAAAAAAATAATAAAATATATAATTTTATAGTCAAGAATTTAAGATTATACTAGGAAACAAGATATATACAATATATAGTTAAGAATTTAAGATTATACTAGGAAACAAGATATATACAATATACATCAACACCTCTGTTTTAAGAATCAAAGACCACACCTTTCTATTACTTTACAAATAATAAATTACGACCATCATTTTTCAAAATAATGAAAACCCATGTATATCAAAGTCAACTGGTGCCGTAGAGCATTATAAGGTATTATCATAATTATCGTACATGCAACATGAAAATCAAGAATACCCATTTAGTAATTAACTGATCACAAACTCAAATCTTACTTGATGCGTTTCAAATTAAAAAGACTTTTTTCAACTCTTTAAAAAATAATTCAGTGTAAGTTTTTAAAATTAATTTAACACTACAGTAATAACGAGCATTTGCGGCGTTTTTTAACTTATAGTGGCGTTTTTAAGCGCCGCTAAAAACGCTAGCTGCGATATGAAAAACGCCGCAAGAAACGCCGAGCAAACTAGCGCCGCTAAAGTTCGTAGCGTTTGATAACAAAAAACACCGCAATAGGTGAAGAGATATAGCGGCGTTTTTTGAATAAATGTCGTAATAGGTGATGAGATTTAGCGGTGTTTGTCCCACAAACGCCGCAAAAGGTCGAGATATATAACGGTGTTTTTTGGATACAAACGCCGTTAAATGTCTACATCTATAGTGGCGTTTTTATAAACACTACAAGAGGTTAAGATATTTAGCGGCGTTTTTTGGATACAAATGCCGCAAAAGATCTGGTATATAGCGGCGTTTATATAAAAAACAACGCAGAATATCTAAACTTTTTGTGGTGTTTTTATGTAAAACGTCGATATTATTTGTGTTCTTTAGCGGCGTTTTTTTACAAATGCCGCTAATGAACACATAATTGACAACAATTTTTTTTCCGATTACCCCAAATCTGTTTTTTTTCCAACCTGTTCCATTATCCAACAAACATGACATCTATAACAACAAACTCTATTTCCATAACAACCAACATCAAATCCCTTATAGTAAATAAAAGTTTACATTAACGTAATAGTAATGTAGTTAAACATTGTTTAGTAACATTAACAAAACATATAACATAAATAAGACTAAGATGGTGGATTCTGAGGTAGCGTTTTCTGTATCATCTGCATCATAGCTTCTAGTCGATTTTCAAATTCTTTACATTTCTGTTGATATGATGCTTCTCTGTCTACTTCCGCTGCTTCTCTCTCTGCTTCTGTTGCTTTTCTCTCTGCTTCCGTTGCTTCTCTCTCTGCTTCCCTCGCTTCAATTTCGGCTTTCAAGTTAGCTATTTGTTGATCCATTTCAGCCAACTTTTGTTTTAAACGACTAACTTCTAATTGGGAAGACTGAGACTGTGATGACATGTACTGAGATGAACTAGATCCAAAATATTTTTTCGGAGTAACGAATGATCTTTGACAGGGAACCCGACCATATCTTTCAGGACCCAAAACGTCATTAATAGCTTGATTTTCAATGTCATACACATTAACAAGACCATGACTCGAAGCCGTAGCTTAATACTCCGCCCTTTTGTCCCTCAATTTTTCCCAATAATAAAGTAAATAATTAATTCAAATAAAAATGTCATACTACAGATATCAAAAAAACATAATTCAAATCATCTATCCAATAAATGTACCATAATTTCTGCAGCTTCATCAGTCATATGAGTGTCATCATTTTTTGTATGTGTCATGTCGAAGGGTTTGATTCGGCCAACTTTAGAACCAGATGTACTTTCCTACAATGTGCCATAATATAATTAGTTTGAGTTAGTATGTACATGGAATACAAATAACTATGTGAATAATCTATAATACCTCCTCATTAGCTATACAAGCAATGTTTTTCGATCCAGCCGTGCGAGTAAACTTTTGTTGTTGCCTGCTAGCAACACCAATATGCTCTCGGTCCTACAATTTCAAACAACCACTTGTAAAGTCAATATTATAATTCGTTAAAATTATTTTTGAAAAATACATCATACCTGTCTTTTTTGTGAACTCCAAAATCTGATTGTATCTTCCCATTGGTACCTCAGCATTCCAGGTGGGACAGTTTGTAGCTTCTCTTCAAGGATGGGATCATTCTTGAAGTATTTCTTTTTTAATGAGCTCTTGTGGTCTCTCCATCTCTTTCCTAACGCTTGCTTCAAATAATCGTCAGAGACCTCTAAAGAAAATTTCTCCTATACAGCAAATAAGTGTTCAAAGTAAATATAAATTACTATTGAATTGTTATAGAGTATCTATTATAATGACATTATTACCTTAACAAAATCCAAAGCTTGATTTTTGTTACTATTAGGCATTTTGTGCCATGACTCATAATTGATCGGTAAAAGATTAGCATTACGTTCAACTATGCCTAAGTAACCGGATAGAAGACGTGCTTTTGGGCCAATAGGTTTATCGACATCATTTCTTGAAACTTTGACACGGTGCCCAGGAGGAAGTTGGTATAATTCCTTCAACGTTGTATGTCCTATAGTCTTGTGTGTTCCAGCATTTTCAACTATATAAGAAATTATTAAATGTAAGTTTTCAAAATGAACAAACTATTAAATAAAGTGTCAAACATTACCTTGAATTTCTACAGCTTCTTCAACAGTTATAGGAACTTCGGAAGAGTCAACAACATTTGATTCCTCATTATTTGTTTGTTCATGCTCTTCTGAAGCTCGAACAATCCGTAAATCACTTATTTTTCTCCTCGGTATGATATCTGTAATAAACAAACAACATTTTTAGTAATAAAACGGTTTAATTAATGAATATATTGAAGGACAACATGATAAAAGTTATAACATTATAAATAAATAAATTAAGATATAAAATCTTACGACATTCTTATGTAATATCAGTTGTCATAATTGAAGTGTTGAACGTTACCTTCAATTTCTACAGTTTCTTCAACTGTAACCGGACCTTTCGAAGATCCAACACTAGTCAATTTCTCATTATTTGTTTCTTTCTCCGCTTGAGGAGCTCGAACAATCCGCATCATACCTTTCATGTTATCTTCTCTAACAGATTGATGATGAGAATTACGAAGATAAGCCGGATTACTTGTGAAAGAAGATCTACGAGGTGTAAGCTCTCCATGGAATATCCATTTTTTGTAGCCCCGAAGAAAGCCAAAAATAATTAGATGTTCGTAGACAACTTTACGAATGTGCCAATTAATGTTACCACACTTCTTACAAGGGCAAAGAATCATATTCTCTTGGCTTGCATTTGCAAAAGCAAAATTTAGAAAAGTTTTTACCCCATTTCGATAATCGCCGCTTACCCTTGATAGATCCATCCAACTCTTATCCATTTTATATTTCTGGAATACCTATTATAAAAATGAAAGCATGTCAATACCTCACAAAAAATGGCAAGAAACATTTGCTTATTTAGTGAAATCTGAAAAGCAAAAAATAATAGCATAACACTTACTGTTGCTAACCCAACTGAAAGGTCAGCTATGAAAATATCCTCAGTTTCACCACCACAACAGAAATGAACATACGAGTGTAAAGAGGGGTATATATAACACTAATATCTCAAACAAACAACAGTCTCTTAAAATAAATGACATTTTAATCATTAAAAATGCTGTGACCAAATTATGTACGTTGTTAAAGGGGTTTGAAACTGCTATATCTGATCGTCATTGGTTTTCCATCGGTGCTATAGCTGCTAATTGACTGTACTTTAGGAATGAAATATGTTCACTTTAATGTTAAAAAAACTTGTGAACATTTAAACTTTTTTGTCATTCAAGAGATTTGAAGGGGAAGAAGCATACTGGTAACAGACATTGTGAAAGCTGTGATTTCAACCTTTTTTCACTTATAGACATGATTTTGTTCTGAAGTGAAGTAATTTATTTTGCAATTAAAATAAATTAAAACTAAAGTATCAAATAAAAAAGTTCAATAATAACAATAAATAAAATATGCTTGTTTAACCAGTTTTGTAGACTTTAGTTTCTCTCCCACTTTCTTCTTCTTCTTCTTTTCATTGTAGCTGTTGTTTGTTCAACTCTCGACTCTCAACAAAGTCATCAGTGATGATAATTACCAAAGCCCAATTTTTTTTTGTCGAGTATTTCGATTATTCTAAGCAAGTTTTATGCTAACATATAGGCAAGCAAAGATATAGAGTAACGATCGTTTTGGAAAATGTTTTAAAAAAAAGGGAATCTTAAATTACCCAGAATCCCTAAAAGCACTTTTCAGTCACGGTTTATGGATGCAAATACAATTATGAAACACTAAATCCAGTCAATTATGATAATCTAAATCCGAGAAAAGTGGTAATCTGGATTCGTTGGAAGAAATGAAAAAAATGAAATTCAAAACAAGCATCAAGTTTAGAAATCTGATTGTTTACCTGAAAGCAAATGATGGCGGCCGCGTCTAGATCCTAGGCGAGGATGCAAAAGAAGACGAGCTAAGGTTTTGCCATGGCTTGTAAGCGGCAGCGCGAAGAGTAAAGATCGAACAAGAGTAGAAGACTTTGTCTTTAGGGCTGGACTGACAACAGTGGAGACGATAGAAATAAGGGATAAAGGACCGAACAGTCGTGGCGTTTGTTTTTACAAACGCCTCTACTCTCGAAAAACGCCGCTAAAAGTGATACTATATTCCAAGCTTGGTGCAGTGATGAGTACTAAAACTATCGTAGATTTCGTAATTAGTTGAGGTTTAGAAAGAGGATGTAAGCTATACCTTTTCAGTTTTTGTGGGTAGGAGCAGGAAGAATCATGTAACTGCATGATCTGCAACTGCTGCAGCTCTTTGGATGAAGAGTCGTGCAGATGCAGCTCGTTTAAGCGTAGCGCATGTGATTGCTGTTCGTGTTCAAGCTGCTGCCGAGCTCCGATTCCTGGATGCTGCTCTTGAAAAAAATTGAGTTCGGGTAAAAGAATTCAAATTCAACTTTATCGTTGTAGACATTAATTTTTCACTTTCATTAAAATTAAAATTATTAATTTTATTATTATTATTAATATATATTATTATTATTATATAAATAAATTACAAAACTGGAAGCCCGTTTACAAGTCCAAATCCCAGGCCCAACCAGAACCGGCCCAGACCTAAATGGAAACACTGAATTGATTTGGGGTTTCAGCTTGGGTTTTCAAACCCCAGCCCCCAGCCGCCTCCAAGATTCCAGAAGGCCAGCCGCCGCCTCTACTCAGCCGCCACCTCCATGTTGACGCTTCAGCTGCTGCCACGCCGCCGTCAGTGCCACAAAGCCACCCTCTTCGAAGACTTCAGAAACACCACGCCGGTCGTCCACGTCGCAGCTATGGGGTGAGTCACCACATAGTTTGGTGACTCACCAGAACTCATCTCTGGGACCGGTCCAACGAGAGCCTCGGTGGTGGCTATAAAAGCCACCCCACTTGCAAGACAGAACACACACACAGCAAGCAAAGAACGGAGATAGCAACCAACAGACCAGAGAGAGCAATGAAGAGATACCGAACAGACAACAGAAAACAAAGAAAAAAAATAACAACCCTCAGCAGCAAACAAAACAGAAAGAAAGAAAGGAGAAAGAACTTACTGAGGAAACCACGCGGTGACCGGAGACGCTACGTACTGAGGAAACATTCGAAATACCCGAAGGTATTTCTCTAGATCTGCTCCGATCAAGAGTTTTTTAGGGAAAACCAAGGCCAGTTTCGGCCTTGGGAGGTTCGGGGCTTTATTTTGGGGTCTTTATGTAAAATCCGACCACCGTATATGGTAGCCGGCGGCGGTGGTCGAGACCAAAGCGCGGCCGTCGGCCGGAGCTCAATTCCCTCAGATGAGGGAATTGAAGAGAGAACCGAGAGAGAATGTTAAATTCTCTCTCAGTTAGAGAGAAGAGAAACGAGAGAAATGAGGATGATGGCCCTTCGGGCCAGCCGTTTGGGTAAATATAAATCCCTCCTCAAACGACGCCGTTTTGGGGAGGGACCCCTGTGTAATTTTACATACGGGTAAAACACTTTCCGTAGTCATTCAAGTTTTATAAATTTAAATTATGGTCACTAATATCAATTTATGAGCCTTGTAATTCGATTTTCTAATTCTGTTTTATTATAATTTAATCACTTCTACATATGTATATATATCCTTAGTATATAAAATACCCTATTTAGTCCCTTAAGTTTTAATATTTTTTATTTTGATCATTAATTAAATAATTAAGGCTAAATGAAACTGTTAATTATTATATTTCATAATATTACGAATTAGACCATTTAATTTTAATAAGTTATAATTTAATCCCTAAATTTAATTTATTTAATTTATTATTTTTAAGACCCTAGTTTCAACTTTATTTATTTTAGTCATTGTTTATTTTAATTTTATATGTTTATATATTTCATTACTTTTGTTCTTATTATTATTTATTCATATAAATATATATATATATAAAATAATATTTATTTATTTATTTATTTATTTTATTTGTTTTTTTAATCCTATTTATAAATTTAATTTTATAAATTACTTTTGAGAAAAGTAATAATTTTTTAAATATATATATATTTATTTTTTAATATTAAGAAAGGAATGTCTTAAAGCAACTGGATGTCCATTTTCTGATATTTTTAAATAAATAAATATCTTATTTTATAAATTATATATTAATATATTATTATTATTTTTAGAAAAATGTTTTAATTATTTATTTATTTTTAATATCAAAGAAAAGAGTTGTCTTAAGGCACCTAGAAGTCCTTTTCTGATATTTCTAAATAAATAAATATTTTTTTATATTTTATATATTAATTAATATATTTTGAAATAATAGGATTATAAATTAAATATATTTTGAATTTTTAAATTTCTAATAATAGAGACAATTTATAATTAAAAAGTACCAATTCTGGGCGTTGTAGGGGTTCTAATCATTCCCTAAACGTAACCGACCATGAATCCCTTTTTATTATTAAAAAGAACGAATTTTTGGTTAAAACGCAGATCAGTTTTTCTTTTAATCGATGTTTTGTTAAAAACTCTTTTAAATGATGATTTTTAGGTATTCGACCTACCTGATCCAAAAGGCCGATGGCGACTCCCAAATTATTTTAAAACCCATTTATTCATATCACTTTTCCCACCAAGTAGAAACTTCGTTCCCGGACAAAAACCGGTTATGACAGCTTGGCGACTCTGCTGGGGATGGTCAAACTTTTAAAATCAATTATAAATTGTCTCTATTAATTATAAATTAAAAACTCATATATTTAATTTATAATTCTTTCTTTTCAAATTTTTTATATATACTTATTATTTTTATAGTATTTATATATATTATTTCATTTTATTTACAAGTATTTTCATTATTTATTTTTCTGTCAGAGGTTTGAACATTTCTCCTCACACACAACACTTGCATTGCATAACATAAGCTTTTTAATCAAGCTTGTCACTTTTAAGTGGGAGTGAAAGCGACGTCTTCGTGAGAATTTATTCTCCGTGTCAGACCTAACAAGTAGCTTTCGGGGTTCATATGCTCTATGTCTTCGTGAGAATTTATTCTCCGTGTTAGGCATAAAGAAATGTGTCTCCTCGAATTGAACTCGGTCCACTTTAGTCTATGATGGACTAGGATTGAGGGTTAGCAGCCCAAGGGGGCACTAACAAGGACAATTCGGGTACCTTTATTCTTAGATCTAAAACCCTGCATATAATGAACCCTAGAAATTCTCCTGATCTAAGACAGCACTGAACCTCTGTTCATAGGTGTACACAAAGGAGAAATAAGCTCTAGCTTTTAATTTATTTTATTTCCTTTTCTTTTTCCTAAATAAATGCATGTAAACTAGAAATCATGCGGTTAGGTTAAATTTTCCAAACAAAGCATGGAACTAGAAAGCATGAGGTTAAGATTTATACCTTGATAGATTTTTTTCCATTAATTGGTACTAACTATTCTAATTTTTCTTATTTTTTCATACATGTTAAATTGCTCTAAACTTGTTTATATTTATTTCTTTTGTTTGCATTGCACGATCATGGCATAATCAAAAGGTGTTGACTTGAAAGACTGTTCATCAAATTGGAAAGAAATCGTAAATGGACAAAAAGTTTTATGATCAAACAAAATATGACGCGGCCAAGGAATCGCATCCCGAGGGAACCCCGAGGATAGAAGAGAGCTATGCACCTAGAGATCATGTGTCCATTAAGGAGCAAGAGGAGATACGAGAAATAAGAGAACAGATGTCCAAGATGATGGATAGAATATCTGTTTTGGCCAAAAGAGAAGAGATTCCTGCACAGAAAGAGAGAGCTCAATGAACTTAACCCTGCAATGTCAGATACGCAAGGGACTTCGGATCTTAACCAACTTGAGAAATTACAGACAATCATCATTCGTATTCACAAATCGTCTGTAGATACCAAAGAAATGGTGACCACTGTAAAAGCTCCCAGAGATGAGAAGAAATCATGTAATCAGAAATCATCGAAGTTTGGTCTGCTCCATACGTTTAAAACTCAGGTTCAATCCAAGACAAAAGGTGGTTCTCATCTTGATACTATCCCCATATCATATAAAGAGTTGTATGAGAAGCAACTTGAAGCACGAGAAGTGGATCCATATTATATAAAATCGTTCCAACCTCCGTATCCGAATTGGTATAACATCAACGTTTATTGTAAATATCATGCTGGAGCTCAAGAACATACCATTGAGAATTGTCTTTCCTTCAAACGTCGAGTCCAAAGTCTTTTGGATCAGGGAATCTTACAGTTTATGATAAATGATCAACCTAGTTTGGTAACTGAAGATCCTTCCAGATCAACACCAAATGTATTCAAAGGTAAGAGCATCAGGAGGGATGTCCAAAAGGAAGAAGATTTGCTGAGATTCGAAGCTCAAATACGTCATTTGAAGGATCAAAACAAGGAATTGAGCACCAAAATGAAAAACATGCATGAAGATTTCCAAAAGATCAGTCAAGCCTTTCGAAATGCTGGTATAGGAAACACCCTAGAAGAGTGGATCACAGGGGTCACCAAACTGAAAAAGAACTGTAATATATATGAAGGTCGAGCCAAGAAGTTTTATCATAATTCACGAGTTGCAGAAAAAAGACTCAATACAACTGTCATGGAATCGAGAAAATATCAAGTTGACAATCAAAGGTTGAATAGTGCTATGACCAACATGGAAGCATCATATCAGATTCATCATCTTGAGATAGATACTGAATTAAAAGCCACTATGGCCAAGAACAAAACATTGAAGAAATGTGTAGATGATTATGGAGATCTTGTACAAGAACTTCTTAAACATAAAGATTCTCTCACAAGAAAATATGAACAATAATGTTTACAACTTCGAAATGCTGGTATAGGAAACACCCTATAAGAGTGGATCACAGGGGTCACCAAACTGAAAAAGAACTGTAATATATATGAAGGTCGAGCCAAGAAGTTTTATCATAATTCACGAGTTGCAGAAAAAAGACTCAATACAACTGTCATGGAATCGAGAAAATATCAAGTTGACAATCAAAGGTTGAATAATGATATGACCAACATGGAAGCATCATATCAGATTCATCATCTTGAGATAGATACTGAATTAAAAGCCACTATGGCCAAGAACAAAACATTGAAGAAATGTGTAGATGATTATGGAGATCTTGTACAAGAACTTCTTAAACATAAAGATTCTCTCATAAGAAAATATGAACAATATTGTTTACAACTTCGAGAGTTAATGCGAAAGATGAAGGAAAAAGACAATATCATGAAGGAAGCCGCTGCTCAAGCAAACAATGTGGCTCATAAGCTGGTGGACTTAGCTGGTTTCACGAGAGAGTTAAGGCAGCTTGATAACTCCACACCTGAGTATAAGTGGAAGTTAGTTTCGCTTTTAAGGCAAATAGAGAAGTTAGGAGTGAAAGCTATCCCCTACATGTAAAAGTTTTTGTTTGATGTACCGAAGCTTTTGTGTTCAATGAAATCTGTTCTAAGATGATCACTCTTGAGTAACACCTTTTCATACATGCATTTATATTTTGTATTTGTGCATTTCCATTTTGTATTCTTACTTTTTATATCTTTGTATTATACAGTTTGTATTCTTATTTTTGGCATTTATACATTTTCGCATTTACATTACATTTTTTTATTTAAAGTATTGTTATATACATTAAATATAAAAACATGTAAGTAATTAATAAAAGGTTTTGTAACAGTAAAACCAAGGTCATTCATTCATTTTACTTTACCATCATCATGAAAATAATGGAGCAATCTTATGAGGGATTACAAGATCAGTGGCCAGAACAATTGACAGGGTTACCTCAGGATATAAGGAAAGAAACATCAGATTCAGTACCAGATGGATCAAATCAAATTATTCAGTGTATGGCATCTGATAAAGAAGAG